TTCCCTAAAACACTTCTACTTTCTATTAAAAATCACTTTTACCCTCACTTTTTCATACCCTACCTATCACATCATACTTTTTCAGTAATAATAAAAGTATCATATCTTACTTTTACCCATCACACCAGGGGCAAAATTGGAAAGTCAACAAAAATTACACTTCTTTTATTTTTTCCCAAAAGCAAAAGTGGAAGGGTTTAAAGGAACGGATAGAGTATATTCTAACCATAAACAAAAATAATTTATCTGAACTTGTGGATTTATCCAGTTTTTTACAATAAAAATCAAAATGAAATACCAATGCCGGGATTGGTGAACAAGGTTGAGCTTCCATAGCAACGAAGGAGACACTGGCGGCAATGCACAGTGACATTCGTTGGAGCGCACGCAAGACGATACCTGCGAAGGGTGGAGTTAAAATCTAAGAAAGCAATTAGTTAAAAGTTCAAGGAATTTGAAAGAAAAATGAAAAGAAAATTAAGTGGAAAACATTTTTTATTGTTTGATTATAGGGGAAAAGAAAGAAAAAGTGGAAGGAAAAGAAAATGGGAAAGCAAAATATACCAAGTGGAGGGAAAACCAAATTCCCACAATTTTGGTGAGAAATATGAGAGAAAAACATTTTCTTTTCTTTTTTTTCTCCAAATTCTTTGAACCAAACGAAGTGTTAAGGTTGTAGCGTCGGCCTCCCGAACCAAACAAGTGTTTTATAGAGTACTCCCCCGTTCCAAAAACTCTTTCACATTTCAAAAATATAGTGTTCTACAATTTCGTTCTCATTTCTACAATACGTCAACACAAAATTATTTCTCTCATATTTTACCACTGTAGTCAATATATCCCTCTCTTTTTAGGACGGAGGACTAGACTACTAGATTTATACCCGTGCAATACATAGAAAGATATTATACCGAGTTTTAACTTATTGATTAAAATAAATTTTATAATTTGTCCTTTATAATAAAGAGTTTTCCTTAGTTAGTTCTCTATTATCAAATATTACTTATATGATCCTTTTTTTATGGGTATCTTTTTTTAAATAGTTTCTTTTTTATTTTTTCATGTTGGTGTTAGTTTGAGGCCTAAAAGTGTAATTATATTTCACAATGATCATATATATTTCTTGTCATACACAATTTCAGAAGTCGTTCCTAATGCGTCGTTTGTGAATTATATATAATCGCCTTTTATTACAACTATAGTCTATATATGTGTCTTTTGTTCAAATTCTAGTCCAGGATTATATCCACTATTGTTGTATTTTACGTATAACCAACATTAGAATACATCATTAGACATATGGTTGATGTCAAATTAAAGCTTTAACCTTCAAATTAACACTAACACGATAGAAGATAAAAAACTATTTGTGAAAAGATACCTATAAAAAACCATAGGAGTAATACGTGATAATAGAAGACTAATAAATATGAAAATTTTCCTGTTATATACTCCCTTCGTCCCATGAAACATTTTCCGTTTCAAAAAATGGCGCGCCTTTAAAATGAGTAATTTTGGTGCTATTTTCTAATTATGATTAATTTATTCTACATATCTCATCCTACTCTTTTATAAAGTAAAGGTAAAATTAGAAAATAGTACCAAAATTACTCATTTTAAAGGCGCGCCATTTTTGAAACGGGAAATGTTTCACGGGACGGAGGGATTATAAAGGGTCAATTATAGAATTAATAAGTACAAATATTACATACACGGAGTAGTAATTACTATAGTATTAATTAGAGATAAATGGTGCATTATTATATTCTTGGTCTACAAATACAAATCAATTTAACAGAGTTATATAGCTTAATGTTATAATTAAGTTTGTCAATGAAACTCAACATAGTCAATTAAAGATGTGCTACATCAATTTTAGTAATGTTTGAATCAAATAATATATACGTCAGATATAAAAAATCCAAGAAGATATAGAGTAAAAAATTTTCTTTGTCACTCCCCATTTGGAAATTTTCCTTAAAAAGATAGTAAAAAATTTCATCACCATTAATTGGGAGTAAATTAAATAAAAAGTTTCCAGGGAAAAGAATTGCTACTCGGTATAGTATGAAGGAAAGAAAGGGTAGGGGGGCAAAAAAGTCCAAAAAGCCACTGGAGGATAATATAAGAAATTAAGAATAGATGCTAAAAAGCATTTAACAATTACTACGTACTCCGTAAAACCTAAACCCTAAGCCAAAAGAATGATACACAAAAGTCCAAGTTCAAAACCCTACGCACGCACTTACGTTTCCCCACAAAAGAAAATTATTGCTGTCTGAGCGCGTTATAAGCATATACTCCCCCTCCCAAAAAAACATGGAAGTTTTGATTTTGAAGAGGAATTTAAAGAGACTGTATTTTGGTATTAAATTTCAAAAAATGTTCTTTGATGTGATAAGTAAAGTATGATTTAATGGATGGATTATTAGTAAAAAGGTATGATGTGATAGGTAGAGTATGAAAAAGTAAGAGGTAAAAATGACTTTTTAATAGAAATGAGAAGTGTTTTTTGAGACGCTTGAAAAAAGAAAGAAGAAAGGTTTTCAGGGACGGAGGGAGTACTTTCTTCCTCCCAAATTATTTGCCACATTTGTATTCCCGAGGCAAAATATCAATTTTTTTAAAATTCATTTTATTTACATATTAGTATAGAAATAAAAAATAAAATTTACATATAAAAAAACTAAATGAAAAGTTCTTCGAAATAAGAGGTGTCAAGAATATTTTATTTTATCAAATAACCAATGGAAACGTCAAAATAAATAAAAGTTCTTGCGACTGCTGAAAAAGCAAATGTTTTGAATATTTAATACTTCACGCATCCATAATTTTCTTTCGAATTTTGATTTTTACACACTTATTTAAAAAGTTTAAAAAATGTAAATATTTTCTATAGTTGTCTTTGATATAATGGTATATAATAAATAATATCGATATAATGGTACATTCATTTAAAAAATTTTGTCAAAATAAAAATTGAAAAAGAAACTTGTGAAAGACCAAAAAAGGAAAGTGAAAACAAATTACTAGACAGGGAGTAATTCAGAGCAAAGGTCAAGACGGTTTGGCTGGTACCCACTCACTCTTACACCTTTAAGGCTATCTATAACGATTTAAAAGAAAAAAAAAGAAAAAAGTGTTCAGTGGAAAAAAGAATTAACGGTATAGCCAGTTAAAGAATTAAAGAATTAACATCATAGATTTTTTCATTAACCCTTTTTATTTGTCCCACATAGATTTTCTCATTTTCTCGTTACTTTTTTTAACATTTAAAATACCACAACTACCCTTACTTACTTTATTTATTACACCTTTTCCACCTTATTTAATACACTCCACCCATTTTTTAAAGGATATTTTGGTAAACTTTCACCTTTTTTCAACTTTCCTTAAAAACCACAAAAAGTCAAAACGAGAAGAACTTAGGCGGATGGAGGGAGTAATTGAAAAAGGCATTAACGCTACTGGCTGTACCGTTTTATCTAAAAAATCTGGATCCTTCTATCCAAAACCCAACCCCCCTTCCATTTTTTGTCCCAAGACATTTTCACGATGACGAATCTGATTTGTAAACATTTATTTTACGTATTTAATGTAATTTAAATTTTTTATTCTTGTATTAATTTGGATGCTAAAACCTTTATTATTGTAGTCCTATTAATTTAGATCTTAAAATCTTTATTACACCATACAATCCACCTAACAAAAAAAATATCTCATCTAACACTACTAAATATCCTACATCATACAATCCACATAATCAAAAAAATATCTCACATAACACTACTAACCATCCTACAATATACAATCCACCTAAAAAAATATCTCACATAACACTACGAACCATCCTACACCATACATTCCACCTAAAAAAAATCTCATCTAACACTCCTAACCATCCTACACCATACAATCCACCTAAAAAAATATCTCGCATAATACTACGAACCATCCTACACCATACAATCTACCTAAAAAATATCTCACATAACACTGTGAACCAATAATAATTAATACTCTAATAATACTCGATGCAGTTGTGGAGGGAGTAGAGTTCATTGGTGCATATATGACGGTGCGGAACGAGTCGGGCACACAGAAGAACCAGGCGGTGGCGATGAGGGCGAGCGCCAACCACGCCGCCTTCTACAAGTGCAGCTTCGAAGGGTACCAAGACACACACTACCCTGAAAAGGGAAATCAGTTCTACAAGAAATGCCAGATCTATGACACCATAGACTTCATCTGATCTACTCCCAAAGCGGCAGGGTAGTGGTCCTCCAAGACTGCGACATCCACGTCCGCGACCCCCGCCCCAGATGAATATTTCCATTGATAGTTGATGTATTTATAACCACAAAGTGAAGTTGTGATGTAAAATAGGGTTTTATATAATGCAATGGGCCGAATTTGATCCAGAAAAAAATAATCCAAATGGCTGTAATTACACTAATCTAGATATAAGCCCAATAATGTGCTACCCAAGACTGTGCTACTGAGTTTTGCAGGAACACTGTAGCCAGCTCTTTTTGCTTTGTATATAGTAAGATAAGATTGCATATTAAATTTTAGAAAATCCTAGCAAGAAAAATTTAATTAAATCATTTTATAGTAATATAGTACATACAATCTTTTGTTTAATTGAAACACAAAAGTCGTCTAATACTCCCTCCTCCGTCCCAGGATATTTGTCCACTTTCATTTTTGCATATCATCCAATACACTTTTTTAATCCATTTTATCTTGTAATTTGTATATTAAAAAATTAAAGAAATTATATATTAATAATCTATATGTTAAGACAAATCAAAGAAGATCACACATGACTATATTTAGACTTACACATTGAGAGAATTTGATGAGTCAAAGTGCTTAGATGAACAGTTCCAAAAGTCAAAAGTAGACGAATATAGCGGGACGGAGGGAGAATATTTTATGGACTCACCCACACCACATGATAACATTAAATAAGCACAAATTAAAACTTGAGCAAACACAAATGCGTCCAAGCTAATGATTTGGCACTAAATGACACATACATTACACTTAATAGTAGGGCTGAGCAACGGTCGGTTTCGGTTTGAAACCGAAAAAACCGACTTTTTTTTAACATGGTTAAAAACCGACCGAACCGAACCAACCATAAATTAAAACCGACCGAACCGAAATCGAAAACCGCCCATACATCAAAAAAACCGACCGAAAAACCGAATTCTAATTACTTTTATTTTGATTTTTTAATATAAATTCAAGAAACTAATTTGGCAAGGTAGATTGATATGTATTAAATTAGTTTAGATTAAGACTTTTCTATTGTCATTGATTTAGTAAGGTAGATTAATTTTTATTTGAATATACACTATCCATTTCATATAAAAATTGCACTTTTCTTATTAATATGTTCAAAACATTAACAAATATATTTTTTAAAAGTGAAACATTAAAGTTTTTCATGAAAGAGTAAAAAGAAAGCATGTATGTTAATCAAATATTTTCTTATTTTAAAAAATAAAAAATAAATTAAAATAAAATCATCGGTTATTCGGTCGGTTCGGTTTTTGTTACCAAAAAACCGAAAACCGACCGAAAAACCGAAAAAACCAAAATAATTTTTACATGAAAACCGAAACCGAAACCGAACATCCGGTTATTTCGGTTTTCAGTTTTCGGTTTCGCGGTCGGTCCGGTTAATTTGCTCACCCCTACATAATAGCACTAAATAAGCACTAAATATTGCACAACAACAACAACAATTAGGAACACAATTAAATTACCCACAAAGTAAGACACATAATTAATTAACTAACATTAATAATCCTAACAATTGAGGGGGAGGGGGAGGTTGCACTTGGGCGGGAGGGCCATGGCGAGGTCGGGATCGATCCCGAGGAGCGACAGCATCATGGCGTCGTTCCTCTTCTGCAGGCACAGGCACGGCAGGTCCGCCGCGGAGAGGGCGGCGCAGCAGGCGGCGGACGGCGCCTCGGCCGGACCGGGCGGAGTCACCCAGGGCCTGCAGGCGTTGAGGCCGTCGCCGGTCATGTTGCAGATGCTGTAGCTCTCTGCTCCTCGCTGCTGCAGGGACATCATTATTATCGTTGTAGCGACGAGGAGGGGAATAATTTCCGCCATTGCTGATTTCTCGTTTCTATAAATTGACATTTATTTATTTATTTATATAAAGAAAAGGTTTGTATATGGGATTTAATTGTGTTCCGAGCTCTTTGAATTTATAGGATGACGAATAATGGGCGGGCGGGGGGACAAAACAGAGAATAGTGGAGGAAAAGCAAATGGATATACTCCATAGTCCATGTACGTCTCCATTTGTCCTTTTTTTTTAAAAAAAAAATTCCATCCATTTTAATTCAAATTTTATGGGTTTGATTAAAATTATTTTTAATTTAATTTGTTTAAAAAATAATATTTACTCCATATACAATTAGAAAATACATTAAAAGAACTAAGGAGTACAATATAAGAAGCGACAATGAGTGAATAAATGTGATTACAGTTTGACAATTAATGTGAATTGCAGACAATTTAAATTGGGATAGAGCAAGAACTAGATACTTAATGATTGGTTATATAGTTACATATGGAAGCTCTATTTCCATAGAAAAATGCTAGAAGTACATCAAAGGTATACCCCATTTGTCCCCCACCCCCTCCATCACCACAAAAAAAGGCAAGAAATTAAAAACAAATTAAATAAATAAAAATAAAATCTAATTGAGTGGTGGAGAAAGGGGTGGGGGACAAATGGGGTACACCTTTGGTGTACCCCTAGCATTGCTCATTTCCATAGCATTTGTATATAATACTACATTTTTTATCATTTAATAAAATAAAATATTTTTGTCACATCTTATTTCATTGTAGTACTTTTGATGTAGTTTACATATATAGAGTGTGTTGTAATTTTTATTTTTATACTAATTTGTAAATAAAATCAATTTCAAAATTATGGAGGTTTGCACATTGTTCTAAGGTTCCAAGAGTACAGTACAATCCATTAGGTAAAAATTGCCTCATTTTGCACTCTATTATTCGTTTTTAAGTTGGCTTTAAGTAACTTTTTTTATTTTCATTTAAAGAAAGGAAATTTTTCTTGTTTTAATTTGGTTTGTGATAAAGTTATATTTAATTTTAATGTAATTCAATTTTGCTGGGTTCATTTTAAGATATAGTTTTGATATATCAAATTTTAATAACATTTATTTATTCAAATTATATTCAATTTATGGTCAAAGTGTATTACTGTTTGACCAAAAAAATTAAAATAGAAAAAGTTTTCCGGGGCGGAGGTAGCATAACATTATGTACAATTTGATACTCCTTCCATCGAAAAATGTTCTTCTCATTTGACTTTTCACGGTCTTCAATGTTTCACTCTAACTATTCATATCTATATTTATACTGAGATATATATTTTATAAAAAATTGATACTCCGTATTTGAAAACTACTCCCTCCGTCCCAATTTAAATCGCCCGTTTTGACTTTTGGACATATTTAAGGAAAATAAAAAATAAAGTTGATTTTTCGAAATTGACATTACTTTTTAGGAGGGGTGATGATGAATGAAAAAATAAGATGAAGAAGAGTGACTTATTTTAGGGGTAGTTTAGGTATTTTATTTTTAAAAGTTTACGAAAACAACTAAAGGCAACTTATTTTGGGACGGGAAAAAAAGGCAAACAGGCGATTTATATTGGGACGGAGGGAGTATATTTCAATAGACATTGCTATTAAATTTATATCAAAATACAATGTATCTTTTCCACATCTCAAAGTGAAAATTACTAATTTTGACTAATAAAACTCAAACGAGAAAAACATTTTTGGGCAGAGAAATTTTTTAGTATAGTTCACACGAAAAAAATGAAAAGACTCATTCTATATTTATTTATTACTCCGTAATTTGTTTCTCAATATTTAAATTATGTGTCGGAGATGCTTTGAGATAAACTTCGAAATATATTTTTTGGCATACCCTAACATATTTGAAAATATTATTGAAAAAAAAAGTAATGGAAGATATGAAATTGTTAAGCAAATGGTTGCGAGTCCGTGAAGAGATGATTGTGGCAAGTAGATCACGGGTGGCGTTTGGACGCTTGGCTTTTGTTGAGTGGTTTTTAAAGCTGTGGTTTTGTATTCTTCTTTCGTCCCATTCTCCATTTTTTATACTCTCCGTCCGAGTGTATTTGTCCACTTTCATTTTTACACATCATCCAATGCACTTCTTTAATCCATTTTATCTTGTAATTTGTATGTTAACAAATTATAAAAATTATATATTAATAATCTATATGTTAAGACAAATCAAACAAGATCACACATGACTATATTTAGTTTTACATATTGAGAGAATTTGATGAGTCAAAGTGCTTAGATGAACAATTCCAAAAGTCAAAAGTGGACAAATATTGCGGGCGGAGGTTGTATACCTCTATTCTTAAAAGATTATCACAATTTAATTTTTTGGTCAAACTATATCATCTCTGACCACGAATTATATTTAATTTAAAATAATTAAATATTATAAAAATTTGATATTCGAACTATATTTTAAAATAAAGCAAATCTTACTAAATTTACATTATAAGTAAATATACTTTTTCTGTAATTCGCGATTAAAGGGTGCAACAGTTTGACAAAAAAGTTAAATTGTGGTAATATTTTATGGACGGTGAAGAATTTAATGCTGTACCCTTGTGTCCCTCATAAAGGGTGCCAAAAAGATACTTCCTATAAGTGAAATGTTGGTGGTTGTGATTTGTGTGAAGAAAAGAGAATTCACGTAAACCACATATTTGTTTTCTTAAAAGGAAGAAGAAAGAAAATTTTGGGATAACTCAAATACGGAGTAGAAAATAAGGAAGATAATTATGAGAGGGGGAGAGTAATTCACATTTCTAGGTCGATGGTTTTAACCCGGGATTTTTCCATCGTTATTGGGATATTATTGGGTCGGAAGTAGCAAAATTCTGTATAGGACATCTTAATTCTGGGACTATTCCAGTCACTCTTGGAGTTACAGAAATTGTGCTTATCCCCAAAAAATCACAACCAGAAGATATGAGTGATCTCCGACCTATAGCTGTCTGTAGAGCGCTTTATAAAATTATTAGTAAAATGATGGCTTCTAGACTGAAAACCATCCTTCCAAAAATCATTTCGCCAACCCAAAGTGGTTTTGTAGCAGGTCGGGACATTCACGATTGTTGTGCCATTGCCTTTGAGACGCTGCACCACATAAGGAATAAGAGAAGAGGGCAATCGGGCTGGGCAGCAATGAAAATTGATATGAGTAAAGCTTATGATCGCATGGAGTGGTTTTACTTAGAGGCAGTCTTGCATGCTATGGGCTTTCACGTGAAAGTAGTATCTCTGTTGTTAAGTTGTGCAACCTCTGCATCCTACACGATTCGGCATGGCAATAAGTACATCGGTCCCATTATCCCTAGTCGGGGTATTAGGCAGGGTGATCCTATTTCACCTTATCTTTTCATCATTGGAGCTGAAGGTCTATCACGTTTGTTACAAAAGGCAGTCAGTATGGGGGAGGTGACGGGCTGTCGAGTAGCACGCGGAGCACCAGAAATCAGCCATCTGTTTTTTGCAGATGATAGCCTCTTTTTCTTCAAAGCTACAGATGCTCAGGCAACTCGCATCCATTCTATTTTGAGTATTTATGCCGCCGCATCAGGACAATATATTAACTTGAATAAATCTGCAGTTTGCTTTAGTCCAAACACATCTCCCTTATTACGTGCTAGTATTTGTGCTCAGCTTGGAATAACAGAGACGGAAGAACTTGGAAGATATCTTGGCCTTCCAGCTTCTTTAGGGCGGAACAAGAGAGAAGCTTTAAGATATATCAAGGAAAAAACTTGGAAGCGTCTCCACTCTTGGAAAAATAAACTTCTTACGCAAGCAGGTAAGGAAATTCTACTTAAATCTGTTCTCCAATCGATCCCCACCTACGCAATGTCTCTTTTTCTTATTCCAAAGACTATGTGCGACGAACTTCAAAGCCAGATGGCTAAGTTTTGGTGGAGCAAAGGCCCGCAACATAATAGGAGTATCCACTGGATGAGTTGGGAGCGTTTGTGTCGACATAAAGACTCTGGGGGACTTAACTTCAGGAGGATTCGTGAATTTAATCTCTCCATGTTGGCAAAAATGGCTTGAAAATTTGTCCAACACCCTGATCTTCTGGTTTCTAAAGTCTTCAAAGCCAAATATTTTCGAAACTCAAGTTTTCTGGAGGCAGGAATTGGATCTAATCCAAGCTATGTTTGGCGGAGTATTTTAGAATCCCAGAGGGTCTTACATAGAGGCCTTCGTTGGAAGGTAGGGGATGGTTCTTTGATCAATATTTGGGAGGACCCTTGGCTTGGAGATAAGGATCACCCGTGGGTTTTGACACGGGATCCAGGAAGGCAGGATATTCGAAAGGTTGCGGATCTGATTAAAGATGGAGTTTGGGACTGGCAAACTATTGATTCCATTTTTGAAGTTCGAGACCGTCGACTTATTCAAGCAATTCCTCTCTCGCACTCTGCCCAAGTTGATAAGCTCATTTGGGCTAGGGACAGGTCAGGTCTATATTCGGTAAAGAGTGCATATCGTATGCTAACATGGGATGAGAGTGTGGTCAATGACAGCACGCACAGCAGCTCGAAATCAGTGTGGCGGAAACTCTGGCGAGTCCACACCACACCTACTATTCGTAATCTTATTTGGCGTGCTGCAAACAACATATTGCCGGTGCTAGATAATCTCGCACGTAAAGGGATGCCGATTCAAAATACATGCCCGTTGGGCCAATCCTCCGAGGAGATGGTGTTGCATCTCTTTGTTTCTTGAAGCTTTGCACGACAGGTGTGGACATCCTCCATCTTGGGCTGGTACACACCCCATGCCAATGGGTTCGTCGTTTGGCTAGAGAAGATTTTTAACCTCTTCAACCAGAGAGATCAAGCATTGGTGTTTCATGTATTGTGCTTAATATGGAAGACCCGAAATGACAGAGTTTGGCGGGGTAGAAACTCGACTCCAATAGGTACGTGGTTAAAAGCTAAAGCTCATTTTGAGGAGTGGTGGTCGTTAGCTCCGCCAATTGCAGGAACGCCAGAGGGGGCCACAGGAAGTTCATGGTCAAGACCACGTGATGGATTTGTGAAGATCAATATTGATGCATCCACAGGCTTGGTTGATGATATGATGGGAGTGGGTTTCATCGCTCGCAATGAACTTGGAGTATTTTTGGCGGCTAAGAATGTATCTTTCAGGGGCAGCTACGGTCCCAGGGAGGCAAAGGCGGTGGCAGTTAAGGAGGCCCTTAGTTGGATCAAATCAAAAGGTTGGATGCAGGTAGAGATTAAAACCGATTGTAAGGAGATTGTGGATGCACTGAATAACCCTTTCGATGATTGGTCTTATTTTTTTTCGATTATTACTGATTGTAAATCCCTATTGACTTCGTGCGATGGGATTTTTCATTTTCACTTTGTTTATCGCTCTGCTAATGAGGCGGCGCATGTACTAGCGCGAGCTTCTCATTCACCTCAGAGCAGGGGAGAATGGAACACTTCTCCCCCTGACTTCATCATATCATTAATATAATTTTATTCCCTTTGCTTCAAAAAAAAAAGAATTGGAAAGAAAACGGATGGTAAGGAAGTCATGGGTATGTAAAAGTGTTTTTTGAGATGTTTAAAAAGTTGGGGCAAAATAGTTGTGTGAAACGGAAGGAGTATAGAGGAGTAACATTCTACGGAGTATGTTTTTGCTGATTATTTTGCTTGAGGTGCACAAATAAAAATCTTATATATTTTGACATATTAAAGTGCAATAAAATTTCTATTTGTGACTCTTACATTTCTCAAATATTTATGGAGTACTTTACTTGCACACTTTATCACTCCCTCCTTCCCAAATCAAATTATGTACTCCGTATTATTTACGATTCACATGATCAAATTTTAATCACTTCATTTCCTTATTTTTACTAGTCAATAGATTAAATAATATAGTCATATCACTACTAATTTTATAAATCTTTTCATGTAGTTTTAAATATGTTCATAATTTTTATTTTTTTAATTCTACACCATTTTTCATATAAAATAATTTGAAAATAATTTAAATCAAACATCATAAAACGAAACATGCAACTTAAATTAGAACGAAGGGAGTATTTTGTTTTTCAACTTTTACTCCCTTAATTCTATAATTATTTAATTACTGTACATTCCTACATGGATTGCACCAAAACTTACCTTCTCTTTCAGGAAAAAACGGTGGTTATTACTCCATATCATCTTTTCTCTTTTTATTTAAACAAAAAAAGTTTAAAATTTCAAACTAATATAATAAATGAAAGAAAAAGATCATTGCAAAAGTTACCAAAAAAAAAAGAAATGAAAAATTAAAAAAATACTCAAATTACAAATTACTCCGGTAGAACTTTGTAAACAAAAAAAGAAATGAATAAAATATTTGTGCATTATTTTTTTAAAAAATATAATAAAAAAAAGTTACTACCCCGCGAGAATGTACGCTACACAGTTCTATTCTCTGAACACATAAGATATAGTGACATCCTAATCCTTCCTTTTCCAACTTTGAGTGCATAGTATTACACGAGCGATACAATGGACTGGTCCTCGTGGAGTCATTTGTCCCAGGATCCATTTAACAATCTCCTGGGAATCACTATGAACAAGTTTTCCTAGGCCTTTACTCTATGCCCAGACATCTACTACCCTTGAGTGCATAGTATTACACGAGCTAAAGAAACAAACATGGCACATTCATAATCAAGCTGTTGAAATACTAGAACAAAAAACATATATTTTCTTGCACAAACTTTACACGAATAAATACAGCTCATTAGTGTTTATGTGTTTACTTATGAAAAAACAGACCAACTAAACAAGACTAACACGTAAACTGCAAGAATACTAGGTAACACAAGGCACGAATAGAGATTCGGTATTTCATGAACCCATAAAAAACACGAAAAAGAAGGAAAGAATTAGAACATATAAAACTGGTTTTCTTATAAGGATATGTACATTTAATTGAAATCATAGAAAAAAGCAATCAAAATCAAAAGGCATCCCAAGAATTACTAACTTAGGTCGCGCGACGCATGTCCTTGCCATCTGCACTCAAAAATATGAGGTGATGTCAGATGTATTTGCATTGTGTTTATTGACAAGGTTTTGCAGCTAATTGAAAGTCAGATATAAAACTTTTCGACATGTTCACAAGGGTTCTTGCAATTAAGAATTGAATCGGCAATAACTTGACGAACCTTGACAGTAAAAACTTTGCAAGAGAGCTCAGATTGGGATTTGATTCGGGTTCCTTGCTTTGCTGTTTTTTCTTGTTATCACTACTTTCTGTGCTTGAACTCTCAGCTTCTGGCCTGCCCTTTGTAAGGATGCGGGCAGCCAGTTCTTGCAGATCTTTTAAAGAGGGTTCCTTCGAGCTGGCAATGGATGTGCACAAAACACGTGTAAAACCTTTTTTTAGTAGAAACGTGAAATTATTAGGAAAAACCAACCAACCAACCTTGCCAAACGCTGAAGTAACCTTGTTACAAAGAGATCACAAGACCCTGGCTTTAGGCGCTCAATCTCCATAAAAGAGCTTGTCATTGTATGTGCAAACGATCCATCTACATCCCCAGCAACAGCCTGAATATAAGAATATACAACCAAATGCAACATTTGAGCTGTAAATCCTTAACGCTATGTTTGGTCAAGAAAAAGAAAGGAAAATGAGAGAGAGAGAACAACTTTTCTTGTTTGGTTAGAGAGGAAAAGAAAAGAAAAATGGATGGAAAAAAATGGGAGAAGAAAAAATGATTTTCCTTTAGTTTTGGTGAAGAAAAGGAGAGAAAACCTCTTTTCTTTTCCTTTCTATTCCACGAACCAAACATAGTGTAAGTACAAGACACTAACAAAATGGAAGGGGGTTCAACACACATGGTTTATACTCCTCTGTCCCATAAAAAGACTTGTTTCTAAACTTATTCTTGTCCCAAAAAAGTCCAATTTGAACAATAGAAGCTACTTTTCATCAAATTAATAATTTTCAGAAAAACGAAGTGTTTCAAAACAAAATGATTGTTAAATTTAGTTAAACAAATACATTTTAAAGTTTAGTTATATTTGATGATTTCCAAGTGTACCTTATTAAAATAGTTAAGAAGTGTGACTCGTTGATAAAGTATTTTATATATACATACCTCCTTTAGAGAAGGTACAAGAAGAGTAGATAGTGTAGCAGAAGATTGTGTGGCTGGAATCCTAACAGCATCATCTACATCACTAGTATGGTGAGATCTTGAGAATGCTTTCTGTGCATCAAAGTAGTCACGAGAATATCTGTAATAAAAATCTCAACTTTCAGGATAAAGTAAAGCTAAAACCAGTCAAAGTAATAAACTGGCTAATTTTTACATCAGGAAGACAGGAATTGTATATAATAGTGTACCTCGAAGAATCCACCCTCGATTGATCTGTTCTATTTTCTTGTCCATCTCTGTGCCCTTTACCCAACATCGACCTTTCTCGAGGACTTCCTTTCTTTAAGCCTGCTTGCATGGAAGCCCTTGCCTGATCAATTAATGGAGGTGTTAGTCTCGAAATATGTGATATGAGGGGATGTGCCAAGAAAAGATGCCTAAGATTTATAAAATACAGTAAAGCACAATCAAAATGGAATGGAACGTTACCATGTAAGTTGAAGAGAAAACTCAGTGCTTACCCTATGAAATAATTGCTGGCAAGTTTCTATTTGCATAATGATCAAATGAGAATTTAATATCAAATGTCACAATTTACATTACAACAAACCAGATAAAATCCCGGGAGGGTGTGTGTACCAACATTTCTGCTACACCAGACTAGGGAGGTTGTTTCCAAGAGACCTCAGGTCAAGCACATAAACTACATCTAGCAACTAGACCTCAAGTACAGAAAACATAAGACGAGCAAAAGCTACCATCAAAGCCGAGACGACTACCCAACTACTCTTGTCTTAGATGTCCAAACACTCCTATCTAAGCTCATACCATCGGTAAGGACCAGAAGTCTTGGATTCTGTCTAATCATCTCTTTCCAATTCTTCCTAGGTCTACCCCTTCCCTCACCCACTATAGTCTGCACATGGCATGGGTACTGCATTACGCCATTTCACGTGTCCCCAAACCACCTCAACCTAGTTTCCCATAGTTTATCCTCCAGAGGAACCACTCCTCATCCCCGAATAACCTTATTTAGAACCCTATCCAACCTCGTCCGCCCACATGTGCACAACAGCATCTGCAACTTTGTCACATGAAGTTGGACGAACATGGATCTTCTTAATCGCCAAAGACTCTACTTCATATAGCATATCAAATCTAAGTACTGACCGATAGAACTCTTTCATGGTAGCTGAAATCTTCTTGTCGCATAGGACCCCTAAAACTAGCTTCCACTATGCCCAAGCAACTCCAACACATGAATAACATTCCCGTCTATCTCCCTTCTATGTGAATGATTAAACCAAGGGACTAAAACTTGTCTCTTTTAGGAACTGGGTGGGAGTCAATCCTTACTTCAACATCTAACTCCGCCACCCGACTGCTGAAGCAACATTCCATGCATTCAATCATAGACCTACTTAGTCTAAAGCCTTTGGATTCCATGGGAATGATGTCATATCTCCAACATGTCATTGTGTCCCTCACACATCTCGTCCATAAGTACAATATTGACAGCAAATAGCATGCACCAAAGTACCTCCTCTTGGACATCATGTGCCTAAGCATACATCACCAAAGCAAACAAAGACTAAGGGAAGACACTTGGTGTAACCTCACCTCTACAGGAAAAGGGTTAGAGATACCAATGACAGTCTTCACCCTCGTCCTAGCCCCAACATAGATATCTTCGACTGCACAAATGTACGCAATCAGAACCCCTTGAAATTTGAGACAACTACACGAGATCTTCCTAGGCACCCTCGTAAGCCTTCTCCATGAAAATAAACACTATTTGAAGGTCCTTTTTGGCCATATACTCCATTAATTTCCACACAAGGTAAATGATCTCAGTAGTTGACCGACCATGCATGAAACTAAAATTATTTTCAAAAATGCACATCACCTATTACAGCCTGGCCTCAATGATGCATACCCAAAAATTGATGGTATGGCTAAGAAGTTTTGTGCCTCTACAATTATAACAACCCAGAATAATCCCGACACCGTTCACATAACAATAGAACACAAAAACAAATCCAACAACCAAAGTTTGAGCATTTTATAAAGTAAAAGTTGAATTTTAAAAACAATTTAGTGTACTAGCAAACCTCCAGCAGGTTTGTTTCACTGTCTTCAATAGAAGCGCTTGAGGATCTCTCTTGAATACCCAACCGAGATCTAGGAGTCTGGGGAGAATCTGAATCATCATTTCGTCCACGATATACGACAGTGCCACTACTAGTGGAACCATCCTCAAGCAAAGCATGGGCGCTGCTAGACTGAGAATTATCCTCGTGTCAAAGTGGGATGAAAACAAAAGAATGCACTCCTTCCGTCCCACAAAGAATCACACTCTTCACTATTTAAAAATCACAAGAATTTTTGTTCATTTGTGTGTTTTCATTGATTGTTTGATAAAATAATATACTCTTGACACCTCTTGTTTTGTAAAACTTTTGATAAACGTTTTAAATATGCAAGTTTATTTTTCATTTCTATACCAACCTTTAAATAAAATGAATTGAAAAAACTTGAAATTCTACTTCGTTTTGCATAAAGTGTAATTCATTTAGGGAGGAAGGAGTATTACTTTAATCTTTGACATTTCAGTGGCAAAAAAACATTACCAGAGAACTCCGGTCACTAACTAGAGACGAATGAACTGTTCTTGGAGTTCTAAGGACCATAGTTCCAGTCCCGCTCACAGATAGTTCTTCCTGCATATGATAGATCAACCATTAGAAGGAAATGACAAAATACAAGCAAAAGGGATATTTAATCAAATAACCATTCATTTGCGAAAAATACTGATTTCTTCATTCTAATCATGTCATTAAAGACAATTGGTAATTAATAAATATGATAACAGGCAATAATCCACAAGGAAATACAGACTTTCATATGACTAAATATATCATTATTAATTACTTAAGTTGCAAAGAACTATTTCAAAAACCATGTCATATAGAACACAATGCAGGTGTATGTGTTTGCACACACAATCCCATGTGGGAGAAATATAGAGGGGTGGGGTGGTGACACAAAGGTGGAAAGAGAAGCAGCATACATCTTCAGAGTAGGAATCTTGTTTCTTGTGCATGGACGCATCTCCAGGATCATTCCCACTGGACACTTCTGACAAATTATAAGTGAGAACTCCAGAAGCAGATGGCCCATGGTTATGACTATCAAGATTTTTTCTTGACAGAGTTTGGTTCAATGGATTGTCTGGTTTCCTATCCCTACCTTGGGGAGGCCTGAAAGCACTTCGCACTGTTCCTGTGCTAGATGATCCTTCAATGTTGAAGTCCCATCCGGCATTTTTCTGGGTTTTCCCTTGACTAATGAAAGGTAGTACCGTTAAGCCAAAAAAACCTGGAAAGAACAGTAAATAAGCAGATTCAAGAGGTTCTACAAACCTCACTCTAACAGTATTATCAATTCCAGAATCTCTAGAAACCTTAAGAGTGCCTGATGCTTCCCCTAAAGGCTTTTGACCACTTCTAGGCGATACTTCATTGTCCTTTACCTGAAACTTAGGGCGCTCCCTACATGATGGCAGGTAAATAATGTCAAAACTATGTTGCAAAATTGTATCAAAATCTCATAACAAATATAAGCAGAACTTAAACATCCAGTCATGATAAGATCAAATATATCCAGAGAACCATAGCTAATAACAATGTGAAAAAAAAACATTCAAAACACTGAAAACAGGCATTTTTAAAATTATCACAGATGTCTGCCAGAAAATGGGATGAACCTGATCCGCTCCAGAAGCCTTGGGCTCTTCCTTGCATTCCTGATAAAACGATGTCTCAAAAGTTCCTTTGCACTAGGCCTCTGTAATTTGAAAGGATGCTTAAATTACTTCAGGATATGTAGATGCAGTGTGCTGCTATCTATCAATGTATATAACTATTGATCCTGGCAATGTGCATTGTGCAAGTCCAAATCAACCACCTAGCTTAGATTTGGAAGAAATGTAGATGCAGTGTGCTGTGCTATACAGCAATGCATATAAATGTAGTTATCTAGGGAAAAAACCTTATTTCAATGAGAGTAAATTCCATAAATGGTCCCATATAACAAGTGGTTTTCCATATTTAGTCCCCATTTCTGAGATATTACATTTGTGGTCCTCAATTGTTTAAAACCATTCCATAATCAGTCCTTTGGGGACAATATGTGGAAAACAATATTTGGTCATATTTGGCCCAAAGGACTTATTATGGAATAATTTTCATAAAATTGAGGACCATGAATGTAATATCTTAGAATTGGAGACTAAATATGGAAAATCACCTGTTATAAGGGACCACTTATGGAATTTACTCTTTTCAATTATTCATAGTTTTTTCAACTTTGTTTCACCTTTTTTATAGTGAAAACATAGGATAGAATAAAAACACTTGTTTGTTGCGAAGGGAAGAGAAAAGGTAGAGAAAGAAGTGGGATAGTTATTGACAGCCAACATAGTTAGTATCAGAGAATCCCAAAATATTGTTATGGCCTTTGTATACATAGAGAGTAGTCCATATCTTGGTGTTTTCTTAAAGCATCTTACAACTCGTAAAGAAGCTTACATATGACCATAACATGCTTTAATTTCAAGTCATTGGATTAGTACACTTACTACATATAAAATGTTTGGCACTGTGATATTGAGATAATTTTCTGTCCAAATGGCTGTGTAAGTTTCCTTATTGAGGCCGACAATTAGCTCTTTTACACCTACACGGTGTATATCTACAGAAACCTAACAGCAGGCTTACCAGGAGGACAGAGAACCAGTTCTCATGTGACACTAGAATAAAGTAGCCTAATTACAAAAGAAAAATTCTCACAGGTAGTATTAGGAAGATATACATCTTATAGGTATGAAACAAATGTACTCCCTCCGTCCCTAAATAAATGTTCTGGTATGACTTTCACGGAGTTTAAGGAAAAGTAAATTGTACGGTGGAGGTTTGTGCAGAGGAGAAAAATAATGTGAACCACTATTCCTTTCCTGAAATGGAATGAGACGTTTATTTTGGGACAATCAAGGAAAGCAGGACATTTATTTAGAGACGGGGGGAGTATATCAAATAGCAGAACAGATAACTTTTGACAGGATAATAGATAAATCATTAGGTGTAGGCTCAGTATCTGTCTGGTATAGACAATCATTGTGATGTCAGATTCATAGTAGGGGAACCAGCGGGTGAATCACAGGAGGAATACGACGAGGAAAATACTATAAACTTATAAAGGATATGCTGACGTAGAACGAACATTGGTGGCAGATTGGAAAGTAACTGCAGGCTCACAAGACAAGACACAGAAGACAATGCAATCAAACTAATTTAGGATGATTAAGAGGATAAAATGCTATGGTACACTTGAGAGAGCAGGCTAGTTTGCTAACAGACACAAGTGTGAATGATTTTAAGTGTAACTGGACTACTAGAAACAAATAAAATTGACTTTAAAGGGTAAAAGAGGGCAAATGCAGAGCCTCCCATATACACTTGGCAGGGGTTTGAAGACCACTGGCAAGAATAATCAAGGGTAAATATTTAGGACTGGACATAGTAGACAATAGAAAAGGATTACCAGAGACATGATCGGATACACCAAACACCCCCCACCCCCACCCCCACACCTAGACCCTAACGGAATTGGGTTATATTGGCTTTGTTATTGTATGATCAGATACACCAGAGTCAACCAATGATCCATGTGTTGGACGTGTTTGAGACACAGACTCTAGGCATACCTGATTAGGTATGGGTTATATTGGCTTTGTTATTGTATGACCAGATACACCAGAGCCAACCAATGATCCATGTATTGGACGTGTTTGAGACACAGACTCTAGGCATACCTGATTAGGTAAGGGCCTTGGGCTTCTGGTATTCCTCATTTTCAGTTTGTGAAACCACAACCAGAGTACCGGAGATAGCAGGATCTAGTCAACATTGGTTGAACAAGGACGTCTCATATGTAGCTTCACACATTTTTCCTAACATTATGTTTGGTTCAAGGAATTTGGAAGGAAAAGGAAGGGAAATGATTTTCTCTCATTTTCCTCACCAAAATGGGAGAAATTTGGTTTTCCCTACTCTTAGTACATTTTGCCTTCTTATTTTCTTTTCCTTCCACTTTTCCTTTCTTTTCCTCTCTAACCAAACAAGAAAAACTATTTTTCACTTCATTTTCTTTTCTCTCTCAAATTCCTTGAACCAAACATAGTGTTGGTGTTACAAATATTGTGGCAAAAATCACATTTAGTGCTATTTCAACAAACATATTCTCCAGAAGTAATTTGTTCCTGATTTTATGATGCAGGGCAGTCGATTACACAAAACATTGGTCAGCAAACATATATAAGCAGGGAAAGGCTCGTGCACAGGCATTGGTCATTGTTGAGGTTTTGGTATTTGTCCGCAAATAGATTGCAACTTGGGAAAAAACCAGCTAAAAGGCTAAGACAATAATAAGCTTTTATCTTTGCTCAACTTGCTCTTTTTCTCGATACAACAGCAGACCCATTGTTCCCACAAGTGTGGTCTAAGGAGGGTACGCAAAGTCGCAAACCCTACCTCTATCCATAAAGGTTGGAGAGGCTATTTTCAGAATGGGCTGAATTGTAAGGCTCTTTTTTTCACGATAAGGGTTGAAACAATAAGACTTCAGCATGGGAACCGCTACGAACACCATCACCGAGAATTGCCATCAGAACCGATTACCACCATTGTCGACCCCCACTTTCTCTGCAATCGGTGACCACAACTACTGTTGGTAACTGTCTAAACCACAAGTGTTGTCTACCACCTCCATCACCAGCAGCCATAGTCGTTCTCAACCACTGTAAAACTTTTTACTACAAATGTCATCATCAACCACGGCCAATAAGCATTGCTCCAGTCGATCATGCTACTGCTAGTGACCGCCGCCCCCACCAACAGCGACTGAATGTTGCTACCTGCAGTCGCCAACCACCACCACCACCTCTACTAACCAATGTTTGAAAAGGCGAAACCTAAACGCGCCTTGAGGCGCGCCTCAGAACATTTTCCGGAAAAAACGCCTCAAGGCTAATCCCGTTTTCACGCTATATGCTTTTTTACGCCTTTCTCTGTAAGGCGTACGCCTTGGGGCGTACGCCCTGGGGCGCGCGATAAGGCTTACGCAATAGGGCTTACGAAATTGGAAATTAAATAATTTAAATTTTGGGTATTGAACCGTTTAAGTTGTCAATTACTCCAATTAATTACCCAATTAAGGTGTATATATCCTAAAATTACCCAATTAAGGTGTCGATTACCCTACTACTCTTTGTCGATTATTTTGGCGAGCTACGAAGTACGATCCGTCTCCACTCTCCAGCCGTCCAGCGTCGGCGTCTGCAGTCTTCTTCCCCGTCGGCGTCGGCGCCTGCGTCCACCCTTCTTCTCCGGCGAAAAGGTATGCAGTCTTCTTCCCGTCTGTCTGCGTTTTTTAATCTTTCTTGCTGCGTTTTTTTACTCTTTCTTGCTGCGTAACTGCGTTTTTTTTACTCTTTCTTGCTGCGTTTTTTAATCTTTCTTGCTGCGTAACAGCAGTCTACTTTTCTTTACTCTTTTTTTTCTTCTTTTTTTGATTACTGATGTGCTAATTGTCATATTTTTTTGGGTTTTTAAGATGAATTATTGCATAGTATCGTATTATTTATTTGTTTATTTTGCTGTTTCAGAAATTAGAATATTGCTTAGATGTCGGACCCAGCATGGAAGTATGGTGTTGACTCAACACCTACAATCGAAGGAAAAAAAAACTACAAATATGTAAACTGCAATTTTTGTAAAAAAGATGTCAAAGGCGGGATTAGTCGATTTAAGCATCATCTTGCTGGTACAAGGAAAAATTCTGCACCTTGTGAAAAGGTTCCTAATGAAGTTAAACAAGAGATGTTATCTACTTTGAATTTGGCCACACAAACAAAACAGGTGAACATGAGAAATCGAGAGGAGCTCATTGATAGTGGTGCATACTACCGAAATACCGAGTCAATTGTTGGTTCATCAAGCGGTGGTAGCAACTCCAATAGGGGAGTGCGCGGTCCAATGGATAGATTTGTTGTGGATGTTAATGTTGACACTCCTGATACTATTCCAGAAAAACCAATGAGCGAAAGAGAAGCTAGAGATAGAGTTTGCCTAGATGTGGGAAGATTTTATATTGAGAATGGTATTCCATTTCATGTTGCAAATTCTCCTTCTTTCATAAACATGTGTCGTGCAATTGGTAATTTTGGCAGGGGTTTTAAGCCACCTACACCGTATGAATTGAGCCACTGGATCTTGGATGAAGAGGTAAAAACGACTCAAAAAATTGTTGATGACGTGAAAAAGACGTGGACACAAACCGGGGTCTCCATACTTTCAGATGGGTGGAAAGATATGCGAGGAAGACAGTTAATAAATTTTCTTGTTAACAATCCTTATGGAACTGTTTTCTTAAAAACGGTTGATGCTTCTCGTCATGTAAAAGATGCAGACTTGTNTCAACACAAGAATGCATTGGTGAAAGCAAAGAAGGTAATGCATTTTATTTTTTCAATCTAAAATGTTTTTCCAACCAAACATTCAATTACCTTATCATTATCTTATATTATATTTATAAATTATGGCAGGTGACTCATTACATATATAATCACGGATGGTCATTGGCATTGATGCGAGAGTTTACCAAACGAGATCTTGTTCGTCCTGCGGCAACAAGGTTTGGTACGGCCTATCTTACACTTGAAAGTATGCTAGGCGTAAAAGAGCGGTTGGAGGAAATGTGTGTTTCAAAGGAATGGAATGCACACCATTTATCCAGAACACAAGAGGCAAAAGCTGTGAAACAAATAATTCTGCGTGATAAATATTTCTGGCCGAGCGTGGAGTATTCAGTCCAAACAACAAAGCCATTATTTAAAGTGTTGAGAATGGCAGATTCAGAGATGGTTCCCGGGATGGGGTTTCTATTTGGTTGTATGGATAGAGCAAAGGAAGAAATTTCTGAGAATTTAGGGCGGGACTTTGGCTCTTATAATGAGATTTGGAAAATAATTGATAAGAGGTGGGAATTACAATTGCATCGGGATTTGCACGCTGCAGCATATTACCTCAATCCTCGCTTTCAGTATGATCCGAAAATGTCTACAAATCCAGAGGTGAAGGCAGGATTATTTAGATGTATGGCTAAGCTTTTTCCAGATCCAAAGATCCAAGAAAAACTCCATTTGCAAATGGATGACTTTCGACTAAAGCGGGGATTCTTTGGACATGATGTTGCACAAAACACTGTGCATAAACGGAGTCCTGGTAAGTAAATTGCTCTTACCGAATATCATTACCAATTTTAAATAATATATATATATATATATATATATATTAAATTTTTTTTATAAATAATATAGTTGATTGGTGGACCCAATATGGAGATGAGACTCCTGAACTAATGGCATGTGCGATCAGAATCTTAAGTCTTACATGTTCGTCATCTGCGTGTGAAAGAAATTGGAGCACATTTAATCAGGTATACATATCCACAAACCTACATTTTGTTTTGTGATGCAAGCTGAATGTGTATAAATTAAACATCTAGGTATGCTTCTTCTCTTTAGCGAACGTATGGTTCTTAAACTTATTTTACCAAATGCACTACATGTTGTTTTCTAACTTTTCATTTACCTACTTCTTTCGTAGTAACTTTCAACTCCTTCTAGGCAACCACTACCTACTTTAAGGAAGAGATGATGAGTGGGTTGTTCATGAGGATGATATGATTGTCGAGAGTGATGATGTTCATGGTGATGGTCCTGAAGTTCATACTCAAGGTGATACTGCTAGTGAAACAATCACCAACCCAAGTGGCCAAGGAAGAAATAAAGGACATCCTTCAAAAAGGCGTCGCCTTGGGAAAAGAAAAGCACTACAGCTTATTGATGAAGTTGAAGAAGATGATATTATTCTTCGAGATCCTATTAGAGATGATTTTTTCATCGATTCCGAGGATGAGAATGAAGGAAATGCAACATCTTTTGATCCTAATTTCAAGCCGTTAGACACTGATGAACTTTTTTTCAATTCTTCAATTTAAGATCATCACTTCGAGCAAAATTGTGTCTGATTCCATGTTAGACTGTTATGTTTGCGATGTATTGCTTTGACAATATACTCTTTTCATGTTTTTGGATTATTTCTGTTATACATTATGTTCTGTCTTTGGTTTTATATTATTTTGTGAATGTTTTTTCAATTTAAATTTGAGGCTTACGCCCCAAACCGCCTCAAGGCTTACGCCTTACGCCCTGAAATGAAAACGCCTCAAAACCGCAATACGCCTTTTCGAACATTGCTACTAACCACCGTATATGGTCTCAACAAATGAGTGATATTAGAAATATGATTAGGTTAACATGTTTCAAATTAGAAAAAATAGAAAATAGAGGTAAACTAGTAAACAAACCCTAGTTTTCATGCATCATAACCATTTATTTAGATGGTATAAAAGAGTGAAATCAACCTCAATGGGATTTTTCTTCAAACACGATGATATGAACTCTTTCATTGAACGAGAGAAGTGTTCATCTAGCTGCATAAAAAATGTCCACACAAGACCAATTCGTTGGAAATATCAAAAGAAACAAGATCCAATCCTATGAAAGGTGTTAAGATACAAAATTGATGGGAAACTGAGGAGTAAAGACAAACCTGTGGTGGATTTTCTCGAGGTATGATGAAAAGAACTCGCATTGGGTGGAGATCAGCTAATGGAGGTTCTCCTTTCGCCATTTCTATGCCTGTTATACCCAGAGACCAAATATCTGCCTACATCAAACACGGCACACAACATTTCAATGTTGTTACAATAAAAGTAAGCTGAGGTGTAAATGATTTTTATGTTCAGTGTCTTGATGACTTAACAAGCAAAGTGTCCAAATACTCCGTATATTACACAACCATGAAAAGGAGCAATTGACAAAAGACTTATTGCTCAAAGATACCTTTTCATTGTATCCTTCAGAATTCTGAATTACTTCCGGTGCCATCCAGAATGGTGTTCCTACAAATGTCTATAAATACTTGCTATGTCAGTTTGGCATCTAAAAATTTTCACGTAAGAGTTAAATGTAAACAGAAAGTAACTAATAGTATTGCAACACTTCAACAAATCAGCCACGATAGATAAGGAAACCACTCAAGCATTCATCTCCCTTGAGTTGGAAGTAAAAGGAAGTGGCATAGAGCAAACAAACAACAACAATGAACCGCAAAGATAATCTCTTTATCTAAAAGCATAGAAGGCTGAGAGTTTTAGGAATACTGGATGTAGGGTTCATAAAAATATATGAAACACATGGACAGTTGAAACCTACCCTTTACGATCATGTTACCAGTCATCTGCAGCATGTCTTTAAACAATATCAGTTAAAAGCATTCCCAAAATTCTCATCATGAGGAAAGAGACCTTGTTTACTAAATGAAGTACTAAGTTGTGTTAATATTTCATCCAAAAGGACATACTACATAATGAGCCAACTCAACATTGCATAGCAACATAAATAGTAAATAGATATTATTATTATTATTATTATTATTATTATTATTATTATTATTATTATTATTATTATTATTATTAAAATATGCTAGCTTGGGAATTACAAATCAAGTATATGGAGATCGTACCTTCCTCCTCGAAATTGTCCTTGTCAATTGAGCAGAAACACCAAAATCTGCCACCTAATACAAGATTATGAAATTTGATATATGATGAGCATGTTGGATGTATAAATCATGTATTTTTCGGATTCTAAGCACACTACATAAACACTATATATATAGCACATACCTTCACATCCCCGTTCTCTGATAACAAGATGTTTGCCGCTGCAAAATAATAATAACAATTATAATAATAATAATAATAATAATAATAATACGGAGTAATAATAACAACAACAACAACAATTATAATAATAATAACAACAACAACAATTATAATAATAATAATAACAACAACAGCAACAACAACAATAATAATAACAGCAATTACAACAACAAAAACAATAATAATAATAATAATTATAATAACAAGAATAATAATAATAATAATAATAATACTCCGTGATAATAGTTATTATTCTTATTATAATTATGAGTAATAATAATAACAGCAAAACCAACCACAATAATAATAATAATACTCCGTAATAATAATAATGTTAATAATAACAATAAGGACATGCTAATATGCACTTTGAAAATAGGATAAGTGAATAACTCTAAGCTACAGAGTAAGGAGTTTAAGGTAACCCAAAAGACTAAAAGCAAATATGAAGTTCAATTGTTTCAAAAGGTACACGAATTGATCGCGGGCAACACTCATTGAAATCCATAAAAGTTCCCATTACAAGCTAACAGTTTGATTATCTGTTCCAAATTTGGCAGTATGAATGCATGCTCCTACGTTCACTAGTTTATTGATCAGAAACCTTAATATATGAGGTAATGTGTCATAAATAGCTACTGAGAAAATACCTTTGATATCTCGATGAATTTTGCCTTCACTATGAAGATAATCGACCGCGTGTAGTAAATCACGCAAAATGCAAGCTATAGACATTTCATCCAGTGGTTGATTTGGTTGAATCTGCATAGAAGAAGAACTTAGAATGAAAAGTAAAAGCCAACACACAATGGTGGCCTCTTTAAATTCAACTCTATACTGTAAAAAACATCATAGATTGTGCCACAAAGAGCATACATGGGGTTTGATCAAATGATGGAAATCAGGATTCTAACAAGTTATCTGGGATGTCTAGAATCCAACATACACATTACATTTGCTTTAGCAAAGAAATGAAGCCTCTAATACCAGAACTAAAAACTTAATCTTGATCTAGTAGTTTAATAAATGTTTGGTATCTTTAAGTCACTCTTAGGACCGGCCCTATGATAAGAATCATTTGAGGGAACTTATGGGCTAGAGCCTAGAAGGTACATAACAACAACCAAGTGACCAATATGGTAAAATCCCAGCATGTGGGATCTGGGGTGGTGTCTGCAGACCTTACCCCGACTTAAAGAGGTAGGGAGAGCTAGAACATATGTTTGCACAAGAAATAGCAGTTACCTCATTCCTCTTTGATGTGACATTGGATGTGATTTTCACATAGACCCAAAAGAGATTCCCTTGATGTATACTCTCTAGTCTCTATGGATGAGTAGGAAAGTGGGTAAGTGGTGAGCACAACGCTGAAGTCAAGGGTGATATTCCAAACGCAAGGCTAGTGCATTAGCTTATCTATGACTGCATACTTCGGGTGCAACTTTAGAGGAAAGCACAATGAGGAGGGTAGAACTTTAGAAGCCAATGTCCGAGGGCAAAGGGTACCACGAAAGGATAGTTTCAAGTATTTAAGTGCAATCATCCAGAAAGAGGGATAGATAGAGGACGACATCACATAGCTATAAAGGCAAGATGGTTAAAATTGATAGTTGCCACGGGAGCACTTTGTAACAAGGTCCTGTTGAAGTTGAATGGCAATAGTACAAGGCATCATCTGACCAACCATGATTTATCATGTATGGGTCGAGTGTTGGACAATGGAGGAGGGACATAAGCTGCAATTTGATGTTGCGGAGATGAGAATGTAACGGTGGACTTGTGGATGTACTATGTTGGACAAATTACCACTGAATGTTATCTTTGAGACTAAGGGGCTGTTTGGCAACTTCTGAATGGGTAAGTGATGAACCAGTAAGAGGTCTGAACCATTAAGAGCTAGTATATTGCTTAACTATTCAGAGGCAAATGTCTGATCAATTTAGATAAGAGGTCTTAACCATTCAGACTCTGTATAATACTTAACCATTCAGAGGCAAATCTCTTAACCATTCAGACATCTGAACCATTAAGAGGCTGAAACAAACAGCCCCTGAGTCAGGAGTCACTGTGGTAAAGTAAGAATGGGCAGATAGTGGTGGTTTGACCATGTCTGTCGCAGAGATGTAACAACACTAGTGGTAAGGGTGAAGAGTGTTTTAGTAGAGGGAACGAGTTGGAAAGGCAGGCTAAGAGCATGAGATCAACAATCGGGATAGGACTTGATGGCGGTATTAAACATCTCCCATGATATGACCTATGATAAGAGCTCTTGGAGCATTAAGGCTGTTGATTCCTAGTAGGAATGTGGGCAAGTGTTACTGAGGTAGGATACTTGTGGCCCTCTTCTGGTTGAGTTGTTGTTTTTTTTTGGGGGGGGGGGGGATTAATTTGTTCTTTGTTTGCATTTTCATTTGCTTCTCTTGTTTACATTTTCTGACTATTTCGCTTTTCTGTTTTATCTCTTGCCTCTTACTTTCTTTGAGATTGTAAATGCATCATGGCCTAACGAAAAGTCTTTTCAGAGGGGTAAGGTTATGTACATCATGACTCTGCTATCCCCAGCACAGTTGGGACTATATGGGATCTGTTGTTTGGTCATCTCTACATCACGTGAGCTACTTTTAACTGCTTGTTGGGGTCTTCACGGAAAATGCCTCTTTACTTCTAGTGGTAGAGGTAAGTTCAACATACATCTTACCCTCCATAGACCCTACTTCTGAGTCACATATACTGGATATGTTCAGTTTGGTTTTTTATCTCCAAGTCAATGCTATTTCAGATACAGTCTAAAAGCTAAAAAAGCATAGTCAATGTGCAATGTAAACAAATGCTCCAAACTTAATTAAAAACAAAAAGGGGTTGGAAAGACAAGCATAAGAGGCAAGGTTGGCTATTAAAAATAACAACTACAAGGTGTTGCGTTCCATATGGTCCACAAGAAAACCATACATCCATCAATTACAATTCATATAAAATATGACCAATGCATATATGCTTCACCTTATATTCAATTATAGGAAAAAAAAAGTGCAAATGTGCAAATGAGAAGCACTTATCAGAGTAATGTCAGTACAGGGTAGGGAATATCTAAGAATATGTGAGTATGTGGCCTACTAGATCAGCAACGGAGCCGCCAGCCATGTACTCCATTATTATCCATAGCTTTGTTTGGTTAAGGTAAGACCCATAATACTCCGTAATATATGGAGATCGACATTGTTGCAGGACTGCGATTTCCTGAAAAGAGTCATCGAACAAAAAACTGTTTGTTGATTCACTCAAGTGTTCAGAAAATCATTGTAAACTATGCACAGTGAGTCAGTGAGAAATTAATAGATACCTTTTGAATATCCTCAATCTCATCCTCCCTGTAAAAAAAATATTAAAAATTAGTTGCATGGAAAATTTTAGAAAAATATGAACAAGTATCAATCTGAGACAAGCGATGTAGAGGTCTAATTTGTATTCCAAGGCGTGAATCTCAATCTAAAAACAATAATGAATTCAAATGAAGTAAAAAACTATATCACCTATTACAACAACAAAACCCAATCTGGGGAAGGTGGGTGTAGGCGGCCACCCTACCAACTAGAATATAGGAATGTACTTACGATTCTTCTAAATCAATAACCTTAATGGCAACCTCTTTGCCCAGCTCTTTATCAAACCTGTAAAACAATGAACAAAAAAGATCACAGATAAAGCACAAAGATGCATTGGAAAAACAAAATGTAACCCATTAACATGAGGTTTCCTTATTTAATATAAAGATGTTACGTAAAAATCATCCAGTAAATGCTCTCACTTTATACCACTTTTTTAGAGGCCGACATAATAGAATTTTTAATTGTCACTTTTACTGGATATATAGCTAGCATTCTGTTGCATAGCTGAAGTTTTTGGTGTGTAATGGTGAAAGTAACAGACAATTGGGTTCAGCTTATTATGAGCCATGGAGGGCGTTATTAACTTATTATCAGCCATGCAGGTCGTGAAAGTAAATTTCAAAGAGTGGTTCACTCAAGACTCAACCCATTGGAGGTTAAGGGCCTATAATACTTGGCATTAGCAGTGCCCCTACTTTGTATCCCTACTATGTCTGAAGAAACGATAGCACTAGCATCCAGAACTAAAATGAACGCAATCAACTACAGCAGCTAATGGGATTAAGAACCACATGCTTACAATAAGTGTTCCCAAACACTTAGAAGGCTAGAGTGCTAGAAAGGGGCCTAGCACTGAGCCAAGCTAAGCCAGGGTCTAGGCAAGCTGAAATAAAAAATAGAGTAAATTCAATAATTGGTACTTTATAACAGGAGGGTTTCCATATTTAGTCCTCTATTATCAAATATTACCCCCGTAGTCCTTTTTTAAGGGTACCTTTCCACAAAAGGTCCTTTTTTTGATCTTCTGCCGTGTTGGTGTTAATTTAAAGGCTAAAAGTATAATTTGACGTCAACATTATGTCTAGTGACGTGTTCTGATATTGGTTAAGCGGATAACACAAAAATAATGACTATGATTGTGGGCTAGGATTCTGACGAAAGATCTCATTTGTAGACTATAGTTGCGTAAAAAGCGACTGTAATTCACAAACGACGCAAACGGAACAGCCTTTGGAATTGTGTATGACAAAAAAGATATATTATCATTGTGAAATTAAACTTTTAGCCCTCAATTTAACATGAACATGATAGAAGATCAAAAAAGGACTATTTGTGGAAAGGTACCCATAAAAGAAGGACCACTTGTGTAATATTTGATAATAGAGGACTAAATAGGGAAACCCCTCTGTTATAAAGGACCAATTATAGAATTTACTCTAAAAAATAAATAAATAAAAATAAAAAACTGGTGTTGAGATCAAGTGAGGCCTAGGCAACTCCCATTTTGAAAGCGCCTTCAATCAAAATAACACTATTAAAGGGTAAATTTTTATATATCATGAACCTAAGATTCCCGCGTTAAGAAGACCCGCGTTCATCAGCTGCATGCTTCAGAGATGCTGATGGTACGGTGGATGTGTGGACTGACGAGGTTAGATAGAATTCAAAACGAGGTTGTCTGAGGACAGGTGGGAGTGGCACCGGTTAAGGATAAGTTGCAGGAAGCTAGATTGAGGTTGTTTGGGCATGTGAGATGGCAAAGTGTTGAGACCCCAGTGCGGAGGTGTGAGAGGCTCACAGTGGTGGGTGAGGGTAGGGGTAGGGGGAGACCTAGGAGGAACTGGAAGAATGTAATTAGACAGGACCTAAGACTTTTGACCCTTGCCGAGGATATGGCCTTGGATAGAAACTTTTGGAGAGTTAGGATTAAGGTACTTGGTAGGCATCTTGGATTAGGTCGTAGTTTTCTCACTTTTTGTGTTGTGCTTTCTACTTGCTATGCCTTTCTCTACTTAATATTAGTTGTCTTGGCTTTTTGTGCTTTGTGTTTCCTCTATTATATGTGTGTATGTGTCTTCTGTGAGTTTGTGATATCTGTGTTACTTGATCTAGGGGTCTCTTGAAAACAGCCTCTCTACTTCCGAGTAGGGGGTAAGGTCTGCGTACACACCCTCCCCACACACTCTTCCAAGACCCTACGCTTGTGGGATTCAACTGGGTTGTTGTTATTGTTGTTGAACCTAAGATTCCCTTATTTATTTTCTCCAGACTAAACACTTCCAACAACATACCAAAAGTCAAATCACAACATAAATGCAACTAGGAACAAATTTTAAAGGAGTTTGAGAGAGCCCACCTCAAGGCAATGAAATGAGCCTTAGAGGCAGTGAATTTAATCATCAAAGTCTCAAGCCTCATGTTGGTATTTTGAGGCTTACGGCTCCTTACACCCTAGGTGGAGGAGTCGTATCAAGAAGTATGGGGCACAAACGAGGCTTAAGCCTCGGACTTTTGCCATGATTTTATGGAAGTTCTTAAAAGGTATTGGGCCTGGACACTCATAATGGCTTCGTTTGGCATTAGCTTTAGCGTGTAACTTCAACATTTTGAAAATGTTGCCCAACGGTAGCTTTAGGACTTGTTTGGGAATAACGTTATAGATTAGCGTTAGCATTTTGGATAAAAATTTAACGGTACAAATTACTTTAAAAATGTTAACGTTAAACGCTGCTCGTAGATAGCCTTTTCAAAAACGCTAATCGCTAACGCTATTCCCAAATAGGCCCTTCGCATATAGCTTCAATGTTTTAAAAATGTTATCCAACAATAGCTTTAGCAATAGTATTTTTAAAGTTAATCTGTATTATTAAAAAATTATCCAAAAGGCTAACACTAATCACAAAAGTCGTTTCCAAATGAAGCCAATATTTACTTTGCTTCATCTTAGGCCTTTTAATAACCACACTGTAAATATTATTATAACAAACAGTAAAACCCTATATTTATATTGAGAAAACCTAGGAGTTGATTAGAAAAGTGGTCATCGTCTTTAGTGTCTCACAGTACTCTTCGTCTTTTACTTCACTCTAGTTCAGCAACACCTATAGTTGTCTTGGTCTATAGTCTACAAAAGGTCTAATTGCCTTTTTTCTTAGTCTTTCTTTTAACACTTAGTTCCTCTAATCACTTTGAGGCCCGATTTTGCCTTTCAAAACCTTGTGAACAATTATACATCATTTTTTATCATTAGCACCTTGAGTGAAAAATTATGACATACTTGATACTGTATAATATATTACACACAAAAAAAATTGATGCTTACCCTTTATAGACATCACCGAATGAACCTCTACCAATGAGCTCCAGATCAGTAAATCTGGACCCTGAGGCTTCAATTAGCAACGCAACATCACCCATCTCTAAATAAAACTCTCCTCCTTTAAAATCCCACTATAGAGAGCAATGGAAAAATCACAGACCATTCTATTCCACCTTCTTATCAGACTAAATACTGCAAAACCAACATTTGTGGCAGGTTTGCTTAAACTCAGTACTAAACTATCCAAAAAGAGGTACTACATTTGATCATTAATATAGCTTCAGATATACAAAATTGTACCACAGAATCACAATTGGAGATCTTAAATGTATAAATGAATTGCACTGCAATGTGAGAAATACTTAAATGCAACTATTACCCAAGAGAATCATTAGGTAAAGTGGAGAGTGAAAAAGAAGACATCCAGCACACTTCTACATACAACCAAGCCCTTGCCAGAAATTTATGATTTAAAAAAAACATTCTTTTCCAGAACAAAAACGATAGCAAAGCAAAAGCCATGCAGTGACATCAAATTCCAAAAAAGACATTCACAAGTTTTAGGAATCCAGAGTTTCTTTAATATAAAGAAAAACTACTAACCTTATTATCGTGAATTCAAAGGTGAAAAGAATGATTGCTTCCTATGGTTTCATGGAAATGACAAACAAAAATTAACGAGTGGATATATCATCAATGAGCTGCAGATCTTTCCTTAGTCTATACTCTATATGCATGTGTGTGGTTGTGTGCACGACCAAAAACGGTTTTCTTTTTCTCGGTGCTGTCTTGTTGGGGTTCCAGAATGGATTGAGGAGAGAAGGGGAGAGATGTCAATCGTGTGTAGTGACATTTATCATTGGGCAAAAGGTATTTTTTCAACTGGGTAAATGATCTGGACTAAATTTCGTATAGGATTTTAGATAGTGGGTGTGTTTGGGAAATGGATTTTCGGCTAGCTTGTAGCTTCTTTGACTGACTTAGGATATCTTGACTAATCAAATAGCTAAAATCATGTCTTTCGGGCAGCTTAAACTCAGTACTGAACTATCCAAAATAAATAATTAGCTACTACAATCACGTGCAAGACAATCAGTATTCAATAAGCTAGAATTCGTTTCATTTTAGCACATCAGGCTTGTCACAAGCATGATTTAAGGATGCCGAATGTAAAATGACAGGCTTCAAACAAACAAAATCACAAAGGGAAGTGTTAACTCAGTTCAGAGCCATCATTCAATCATTACACATTGCAGGTAGAGCAAGATTACGACGAGAAACAGGGCTAGAATTCAGATTCCGAGTAAAAATTCAAGAGACCAAACAACTAAACCCTATCTCTAGCAGAATCTTAAGAATTGAATGATGTACCCTTGTAAGATCTTTAGATCTGCGTATAGTTTCTGGTTGGAGTTTTTCTCTTGGCTCTGAATCTTTTCATCTTTCCTCGGGATGAGATAACTCGCCGATTTCCGGTTATGCTTCCCGTTCCCCTCGCCTCTCCCTTCCGATCACACTGCTATGATTTACAATCCTAGCGACGATTCGCTCTCCGTTCGTTTTTGGAGTTGAAATGCGACGAAGACGGGTTACTCTTCCTGTCTCTATCTCTGTATATTCCAGTCTGTAAATGAAATGAAATCAATGGAATGAACCAAAAGAAAATGAAATGAATAGAGGCGAGAGGAACTGAACGAGAGATGAGCTCAATGGGCTCATTTCATAAATAGAGAGTAGGCTTTATTGAATAAACTCGGTCCATATAAGAATGGCCACAATTAAAATTGCAAAGTGTATTCTTAAAAATTGATACTATAATATTTGGGAAGTTTAAAAAAATTCTTTTTTTGGAAAGTTTTCTTTTTTTTTTTTGGCTCACCATTTTTTTCTTTTCTTCTAAATCATTTTTAATTATCCAATTTTAATGTTCTTATAGTTTGTGTGAAACTCAATTAAGAAGATTACTGTGGTCCAACAGATACTTTGAGAAAGTATGTATGAACAGTATATATGAACAGATATTCTCTATTACTACCTCCGTCCCACTCTTTTTGTCCAGTTTTGACTTTTGGAACTGTTCATCTAAGCACTTTGATTCATCAAATTCTCTCAATGTGTAAGTCTAAAAATAGTCATGTGTGATCTTGTTTGATTTGTCTTAACATATAGATTATTAATATATAATTTTTATAATTTTTTAATATATAAATTACAAGATAAAATGGATTAAAGAAGTGCATTGGATGGTGTGCAAAAATGAAAGTGGACAAAAAGAGTGGGACGGAGGGAGTATAAAGTTAATAATACTAAAATGAATCGTATTACACTTTATGCACTACGTGAGAAAGTAGGTATGAACAGATACTATGTATTATAAAGTCAATAAGACTAAAACGAATCATATTACACTTTATGCAATCATAGAGACAAACAATGCCTGATTGTTATAAAAACAATCTAGAAAATAGGAAAATCGAATTAAAACAATACTTCATCCGTTCCACAATAAATTACACCATTGTTGTCTCGACTTTTAATAGTTTTGTTTACTTGGGTGCTCTAAGTGATAATTTAATAAACTAAAAAATTCTCATCACGTCTACTTGGTAGAATTTTTGACATCGTTTTTTAAATATAAGTTATTCAACATATTCCATTTTTTTAAAATCAATTTATAAATGGAATAAGGGGCTACCTTTACATAAAAAGAATAAAAGAATAACTCTCTATATAAGACTAAAAACTATGAAACGTAAAAATATGAGTTCTAAGTATTTAAATACTAAAATAAGAGTGCACACTATTTTTATTACGAGTACTCTATTGCACTCACCACATTCTCACACTCCAATTGCCGCATTGTCATCCGTCACCAGTCACCACAGTCCTGCAGAGTGTTGTCGTTGATCTCCGGCGGCTAACTGATCACATTCTTATTGTTTTTCCATCACACTACCGGCATGTATTCTTATATCACACTGTCACTATATTCATATTTTGATTTTAAAGGCTTTGGAACTTTTGTTTTGGTATTTTCATATTTTTTTACTCATATCCTTTTGACTAAATTTAAAAGACACCTGATCTCATTCTGTATTTCAAATTCTTAAAATACAATAAAAAAAGGTTACTTCATTATTCTACTCTAACTCTCTATGAGCTTGTTCTTTTGGGTTTAAACTTTAGTTTTTTTAATTTTTTCAATATTTTCCAATTGTTTTAGTCATTTCCAATTTTTTCTAGTTAGTTCTAGTTTTTCTGTTCTTTTCAGTTTCTTCCAAGCTCTAACTCCGACCAGCTTTTCCATGCAAGTACTATTATTTTCCTCAATATATTTTTAGTTTCCCCAAATAATGAATGTAAAAATGATGTGCATATTATTATTATTATTACTACTACTACTATTACTATTATAGTGTTCATAACTATAGTTTATGGTCAATTATAAATTATTCTCTCCATCCATTTTTTTCTTCTCAGTTACTATTATAGTTTCTTGATAATTTATGTTTGTTTACATATTTTATTAATCATGTAATATGATAAGATATTTTCGTCATATCTTATTTTATAGAACTTTTGATGCAACTTTGAATAATAGTGTACTTTGTAAATTTTATTAATACATGGAGTATCAATATGTAAATAAAATAGTTTTGGAAAAGATGAAACATTACACATTATTTGTAATAAAAAGGAAAAAATGGAAGGAGTATAAAACATAAAGTAAAATTTGTGGTGCATATATTTTTATTAAAACAAAAAATATATGAAGTAAATTAAAGAGGTGTTTGAAAACGTTTTTCATTACCATTTAGATATATTATTAAAAAAATTATGTATGTAAAATAAATTTATGACACGGGGAGTCCATCCTTTAAAAAAAAGAAAGTATGAGATACTAATATACTATAAGGTAATGTGAAAAGAGTTGAGATGAGAGGTAAAATGATGTAGAATTAAATATAGGGGAGAGTGCATTCAAAAAAATATAGGGGAGAGGATGGAAGAAATGAATACAGATATCTTAGAAGGGTGTATCCTACTATATACAACGCTAGGTGAATTTTGTGAAAATTATTCCCGCCTAAAAATAAAGACTTAGTGGTTCAGGTTTGGGTCTGGCAATGGATCACACGGGTTTGGGCCAATTCGTACTGATGGGCTCAATCAATTTGCTTTATGTCTATTCATATTGAGTGGCTCCATAAAGTTACATTGGGAAAAAAGCAAAGTTTGAGTGGCTCCATAAAGTTACAATAAGATGATTCATATTGAGTGGCTCCATAAAGTTACATTGGGAAAAAACAAATTTGAGTGGCTCCATAAAGTAGGATTGAGAAAATGTTACTTTGTGTCAAATCCATTGATTATAAAGATTTTTTCATATATAGCCATTTAATGAATTGGTTAAAGAGATCATACAGCATGCATTATATATACTGCATTATATATACTCGGGTAGAATGGTGGTAACTTCATTCAAAAAAACTTCTCTAACAGCCTAAAAAATCCTCAAATGTCTCAAAGTTCTTCATTATGCATGTGGTCTCCTATTGTTGAGCTTGACAACAGTCAAACCAATTGGAAGTTCAAGTTACGGGCCATGCGTGTCTATTTTGTTCCTGTATGGACCAAAGGCAGAGATTCAATGGAGATCATTTTTCACAATGAACATGTATGATATTCTCATTTTTTTAATGCTTAATCATTATTTATTTATTAATGTTTCTAATCTAAACTCTTATTCTTTTATACAGGGCACAGGAACTCATGCTCATATCAAAAACCCGGAAAAAAGGGTTTTGAAACATAAGGAAAAAACAAATATATCTTTAATGGTTGTGTATGTAGGAGGATGTGTGTGTGTGTGTGTGTGTGTATCACCGGAAAAAAAGCGTTTTGAAACATAAATTGTGGAAAGTGGTGTTTATGGAATTCGAGACTTACTTCCTTTATTTATACATTTTCGAAAATATTTAATGTTATAAGAATATAAATTATTATAAATATTTCATTTAGTATTTGAAGATTAAATAAAATTAAATAATAAATACCAGGTTATAAATTAGAAAAAAGTTAATACAATGAAAAAACATTATATCCAAATTGTGGTACTAATTTGAATAATTTATATATACAAATATATATCTTTAATGATTATGTATGTAGGAGGCTATGTGTGTGTACGTGTGTGTGTGTGTATGCGTGTATATATATATATGTGTGTGTGTGTCTATATATATATATATATATATATATATATATATATATATATATATATATATATATATATCTGTGTGTGTGTATTTAAATAAACATATTTATATTACCTGTTTAAATGACACACCAGCCTTGATGTTTTTTTGTCTAATTTTTATTTCCTGCCATAATGAAACTGTTAATGTGCAATTGAACCTTTATCATGTTCAACATTTCTTACTGAACATGGTCAATAAGGTTCAATGACTTTATCTAAACATTAATGTATACTCCCTGTTATGAGATTATTATTATTCTTTGAACTAAAAAAAGTTAATAGTTTAATCTAATAAGGTATATATCTAATTGAACTTCGAAATGAAGACAAGTTTCACATAAGCACAGAATATTTAGCTTTAATAGAAATTAAGACATGATGAAGACAAGTTCAGAATAACAAGAACTACTGGGAAATTCATTCAAATTTTCTATACAAAAGGATCGTTTTTATAGAAATATTTTCGAAGGACCTGAATCTAACAATAGGTAAATAAATAAAATAATACATCTATGAATGAGACTAAAAATAAACATACACTTTTTTTAAAATTAATAATTTCACATCGAAATTATTAATGACTTGAAAAATATTAATTACTTTAAAAAGATCATCGGATTACAAAGAGTATAATCGATTAAATATAACATTTTTTTACAATCAAATATGAAATCAGAGATCTATACTTTTAAGAACAGATTTTCAATAATCTACTAAAGAATAATGTTCCTTGAACAACTAAGAGATTCGATGCATGTGGGTTGAATTTCTCAAAACATATTAATAAAAAAAAGTTTTAAGTTTTTTTTAAAAAAATTATAATAATCTAACAGATATATTGCGAACATCTAAAAAATTAAACAAAGAAGAAGAAAGGAAGATAAACGGATCTAAGATTTCATAATAATCTTTAAAAATAGGGAGTATTTATTCATGAAGAAATTCCGATGCAATAATAAAGAATTAATTTCACCGAAATTACCCCAATGGTTCAAATCATTTGGCGTTGTTGAAGGACCACAACTTCAAATTGCCGCATCATCCATCTACAATAACATCGGTAGTGTACAGAGATGTAGGGGACGACTTATAATCATCGCCGGTTCTTGGTTGAGTGCATACACCAATCACCAGCCAAAAAAACCTTATCTAGAGAGATGTATGGAGAGAATTGAGAGGGCGGCGGATAGATGATTGTGCGGTCACTAAGCAAAATCGTAGGATAGAGTAGGGTATAAAAAACTGGGCTGGAGTATTTTCAATTTAAGTAATATACCTGGGCCGACTATTGGGTTGGAGTAAATAAATAGCCTGGGTCCTGGATAACTTGGGCTGGATTGGGATGGTGGACTGATTTTGCTATT